CCTCGACGAACTCCTGGAACCATCGCCATGCCCTTTGGCATCTCTCGATCAATCCCAGCTGCGGCGTCGTTGGCACGTTCTCTGCTAGCGCCGGATCGATGAGGTTAAGGACTGGCGAAATGCCCGTTGCCACCTCCTGGCACCGGTTTTTCCAGGTGTCACGATCCTTGGTGATCTCTTGGCATTGCGCCTTCCAGTCGTCACGATCTTTTATCACGGACTCCAGATGCTTCTTCGCATTGATTTTTATAACTGCAAACCGCACATGCTGTTAAGACACTATATTACGCCAAACTACGGTATGCAACGAAAATGACCAAAGGGGTTTGGAAAACTTACTTTTCAGTTCCTCTGTCATCTTGGCCGTGTGGTCTCGGGACCGCGACTGGTCTTGCGCCAGTTTTCTGTTGTCCTCTTTTAGGCGATTACACTCCACGACCGCACGATTGTTCTCCTCTCGGAGATGGACCACTTCGGCTTCTAAGCCTACACTACGGCTGTTACTACCAACAACACAACCACACTTGTCAAAAGTTGTTGTGATGAAATGGCTACTTACTTGTTCTTTCCTGCTCTTTATTACTGAGCTGGACGACCAGTTTCTGGTTCTCGGATTCTTGCACCGTCTTTTCATGATTGGTGGCTTCGAGTCGCTGGCGCAAGCGTTCCACCTCTGCCGTCAGCTCCTTGTTGTTTGCAGCGATCCCCTCGATCTGGTCGAAGCATTTCTTGTGGTACCTTGCGGTCTTCATTAAGTCCTGTGTACAGATAGCTAAGTAAGACAGCTGCGACTAGACAACAAGATCAGGGGGGGTGAAGCGAAGCTTACCTGCTCCTCCGTAACCAGCCGTTTCGCCGCGTGTTCAACTTTCTTGGTTTCTTCGATCTCTGGGATTTTCTCATGGACAACCCATTGGTCGTTCTGCCAACGCGATACATACACATGTTGTCGCTTGTCCTGCGGATGGCCCAAGACCTCTTCCACTTCGTTCTCTTCGGGCTCTTCTTCGGGTCTCGGTGCTGGCCCGGCGTCAGCAGCTTCTGCGATCACCAAAGCCTTCCCACGGGTTTCAGCGTCGGTGAATATGGGCTGTGCTCTCACCCTCGGTTGTTGCTCCTCGGTCTACTCCGTCGCCCTCGACGTTGATATGTTGCCCTCAGTAGGTCTAGCGCTCGGAGCACTCGTGCTAGGCTCAGTTGGTCTCTCGACCACCTGCTCGGGGACTGTTGTCTGACTGCTCCCTTGCTGAGGCTCCGATGGATCTTCTGTTATGGCTTCCTCGGTGGCCGGCTGCTGGGCAGTCTGCTTTGAACTCATTGGCGGAGCCACGCAACTTCCGGCTAGCTGGTCCAGACTTTCTGTGGATGCCGAACTAGTACATCCGAGAAGAGTTCAGTAGGCAACCATGTTTAATGCAAATTGCTAACTTATAATAAGATTACAAGTACTTACATGTTAGAAGCACGGAACGATGTGGCGAAGGCACGTCTCTTCGGCCGCACTTGCTCCATGTGCTGTGTGGGTGACTCCTGGTCTCCCTCTACATCCAGCACTATCGCTGGGCCTTGGTGCTCAACCCCTCCGTCGCTTGTCCTTTGCGCTGCAGTGGGCGGTGGTGTGCTCGGTCGGGTTATCGCTTCCGTCGCCGGTCGCGTTCCTTGCCCAGGTACTCCCGAGGTTGACCCGGATGCATCCTTCACCGACGTTGACGATGTGGGTCTCATGGGCGTGGATGAGACACCTTGCCCCATCGACTCCAGTTGTTTCCTCTTCTTTCGAGGGACAAGTCAAAAGGTGTCTGCATTCTCTCCCTCCTCTGCATCATCGTCCGACCAGGCAAAAATTGCCTGTCGATGCTTGCTGGCCGGTCCCTCCTTCGGGCCTCCCTTGGGCTTGTTAATATTTAGCGTCCCCCGATGAGCAGGGAGGTTGCTGATCTCTTCTTCGACTGTTTGGGGGCAGCCGGCCGCTTACCAGCGGCTAGGGCCGCTGCCTCCTCTCCAGCACCGAGCACCGCCCAGTCGACGTCCTCGTCCTCGATATCAACGCTGGTCTGGGTGGTGGGACCACCTCCTTGTGGCCACTCTACTCCAGGGGATGGCGACACAAACACTGTCGCTCTATCCCGACCATTGACCTGGGTAACAAAAATGAGTGCACACAGTAAGTTTCCGATTTTCCTATTGTGATACAAAACTACGGGTACAGGGTAAGACGAGTTACCTTTGGGGGAGGTCGGGCAAGCTTGAAAGCGTACTCGATGTCGCTCAATCTGGCATAGTTTGGATCAGCTAAGTTAAATAGCTCTCCAATTCTGGCTTTGACTTCGATTTTGTCAAGCGCCTCCTGCCTCGTCGTCGTCGGGTCCACGCTACCTTGATATTCATAGCCAGGATGTACTCTCCTTTGGTAGAGCTGGATCCATCGGCTGATGAAACTCCCGACCACGCTCGGGCCATCTAGTTTTTTCCATGGGATCATTTCAAATATTTTTGGAATCTGTTCTAGGTGCTCAGGTTTCTCTGACCAGCTTGTCCTCTTCTCCGGAATGTACCCCACGTCGCACAGTGTGATCGTGTTTGGCTCTTCGTGAATGTAGAACCATTTCTTGTACCAAATAAATCAAGCGGCGTGTTCCATGGGCGCAGTCTGCAGTCTTTGGCTTTCATGCCATCACGGAGGTTGAGGTACACACCCCCGGCTATCTTTGAACCGCCGCTTCCTTTCTTCCGCAGATAGAAAAGATGGCAGAAAAAATCAAAATGGGGCTGGAAACCGCCATATGCCTCGCAAAGATGTACGAAAGTGGCGACAAGGAGGATCGAGTTGGGATGCAGATTGCAAATCCCAATCTCGTAGTAAAGACAGAGCCCCTGAAGAAAAGGATGTACCGGAACCCCAAATCCCCGTTTAAAGAAGTCTTCGAACACCACGATCTCACCTGGTTGTGGATCGGGGTACCCCTCGCCCTCCGGCGCACGCCATCCTGCGAGCTCCTTGTTGTGGAGTACTCCCATGGTGACGAGGTCTTCAATGGTCTACTCGTTGCTTCTCGATTTCCACCATTCCTTCGCCATGACCCCTGCTTTTTTCTGCGCATCACTTTTCGCCATGAATTTGGCTTTGCTGGTGAACGAGGAAAAGGAGGAGGATTGATTGGTGGCGATTTCGGATGTATTAGGGTTGGCGAAAGGAAGAAGAAAGTTGCGGCTGTGAATGGCAATGGGGTTCAGTAAAAAGTAACTTACCTATCCTACACTGTATTTAACCCAAGAGTTATGCCGTTTAAATCCCGCCTCGGATTCTTGGGAGACGTGCGACGCCGCCGCAGAGACGGTTGTTTTCACGATTTGAGATCTACGCCAATATATGCCTCTTCGTTGCCGGTGTGGGAGGGCCCACGTTGACGCACCTACTTACAAAAAGCACGAAGCTGCTTGCTTGACAGACAAAAAAGCAAGATATGACGTACTATGCCCGTCTACTTTTTTGACCAGACGTGTCAAATTGGACTTGACAGAACAAGTAAATAAATAAATATGTAAAATAATAGTACAAGTGATTACCCTTGTGCTCGGGGACTGTCGTGATTATTCTTGTGCTCGGGGATTCTCCAGACCACTGTTGTGCTCGGGGACTGTCCATACCACTCTCGTGCTCGGGGACTACCTCGACCACTCTCGTGCTCGGGGACTGCCTCGACCACTCTCTGACTACAGCTCGGGGGCTTCATCCCTCGCTCCTTGACTTGTGCTCGGGGACTGCCTCGACCACTCTCTGACTACAGCTCGGGGGCTTCATCCCTCGCTCCTTGACTTGTGCTCGGGGACTGCCTCGACCACTCTACGGTCACAGCTCGGGGACTTCGTGTCTCGACTACATGCAACTCATGACTCGCATACAGTTGGAATATTTTTTCTTCATTTGACCTTGCTACAAGGCTGATAATCTCGCCTTCCAGCAAGCTCGGGGACTACATCGGTACGATGCACCTGCCGGTGCATCTCGTATCGCTTGTACGACGATCAGATTTTTAACTTAATTGGGAATTCTTTTTAGACCCTGACACCACGTGCCTGCGTCACCTACTACCAGGCTCGAGGACTAAGTGGGCACACTTCACCTTGCAGTGAATGTGTTTATTTTATCGACCCCTACGCTCTGACTGTTGGCCATGACTGTTGGCCATAACGGCTATTGTACAAGGGTCACTTACATTTCTTTTTAGAAATACAAGTGGGCACATTTTATCAGGAAAGAAATCTTTTTCTTTTTTCTTTAGAGCATCATGTATTCTTGGACAACCAGAATCTTTGGCTATAATCGTGGTCTACTGCTCTCTGTTCTGACCAGAATACTGGCACATTCGCTTGGTCAACGTTTCAACCAGTTGGAGGTGACATGAAGACGGATCACATTAGCCGAAGGATATCGAACGGCGTGTCGCAGCATAATACATGGTGCTCGGGGACTAGCTGTGGGGGTATTAACCCCTATTCCCTTACGGCTAGGCTTGGGACGGCCTGGATCAGGGGATTTGACCCACTAGAAGACTACACATGGCCCGGTCAATCTGTTCGGAGTCCCATGCAAGGAATCAAGGCAGATTTAGAGATCAAGCAAGATCCTGGTCGGTTAGAATAGGAATCCTTATCCGGCCACCTATGGCAATTGTAACTGGTTAGGATTAGTTTCCAGATCTGTAACCCTGCCCCCCAAGACTATATAAGGCGGGCAGGGGACCCCCCTCAAAAACATCTCTCATTGACATACAACAATACAATCAGACGCATGGCGTAGGTATTACGCCATCCCGGCGGCCGAACCTGGATAAAACCTCGTGTCTGTCTTGCGTCACCATCTTGTTTGTAGCTTACACATTTGTCTACCGATAATCTACTACCTTGGGCATACCCCTAGGTAGACTGCCGACCATATTTCGTCGACACTTCTCGAGCTCATCGGCGGACACCGGAACTTCAATCCCTCGTCGTCGGCAATGCCTGACCTGAACATCGCGCGGAACTTGCGGGAGAGGATGGCGCAAGGCGAGCACATGGAGTTGGTGGACGCAGCCATGGCGGTGCCTGTAGACGATGAGGAGGCGGTGAAGACGGTGGTGAAGGTGGCACTCTGCTGCATCCAGCATGAGCGGGACATGAGGCCAAGCATGCAAAATGTGGTGGATATGCTCGAAGGCCGGGTCGCCGTTAATTTCCCGCCGGAGGCCCATCGTCCATCATCTTCTGTTGTAAGTTTATCGGAGCCACATTCGATTTCGGAGCACGCCGTCATCGACATGCACGGTGGGTGACGCCAGTGGATTGGGTCTCTCCACTTCAGATGTTATTCTCCAAGTATTTTACCATTTTATGTAGTTATGTGCACAATTGAACACAGGATTTCCTATTCGAAATTTGAAACCATATATTTGTATAATCAAATGAAGTCATGTTTTCCGAATTTGCTCAGATCCTCAGACCACACCTGCCTCTTCCTGCCTTCAGATGTTTGTATAATCACCGATAGATTTCCAATATACTAAATTCGATATTTCTGTTTTATTAGTGGATTCTGATAGGATTAATTTATCACTATATGTTTGTTATAATATCGCAGGTAGTCTCACTCTATATATTATACATCGGAGATTACATCTATTGAATAAAGAAGATATATGTACGTGGCAATGAAAATCGAAGGGATTGAGTGGACATGATTAAATTGGTTGGGCGATAGAGTCGTGGATATACTTGGGTAGTATCTGTATCTACCGTGAAGTTTGTACACACATTGGACAAAGAATTGCTTGTACATGGTCGGCCCAACGTGCACCATGTTTTGGCCGGCCGGGTCCCACTCGTTTTGGAACCTTCATATCTTGTAGTTCACGCGCCTTTCTTCTCTTCTCAACCCATTCGAAGAAGAAGAGCACGCCCCACTGCGGTGCGCCTGTAAAGCTCTTCTACCGTGCCAGCCCGGATTCTCATCTCTGCAACACTCTTTTTCTTCACTCCCAGCCTGCATATATAGTGTAGCGAGACTATATAAACATGGCGGATGTAGAAGACTCCTCGTCATCGGCGACGCCAGACCCGAACCTAGCGCGGAACGTGCGGGAGAAGATGGCGCAAGGCGAGCACATGGAGTTGGTGGACGCAGCCATGGCGGTGGCTGTTGACGATGAGGAGGCAGTGAAGACGGTGGTGAAGGTGGCGCTCTGCTGCATCCAGCACGAGCGGGACATGAGGCCAAGCATGCAAAATGTGGTGGATATGCTCGAAGGCCGGGTCCCCGTTAATCTCGGGCCAGAGACCCGTCGTCCATCATCTTGTTCTGCTGTAAATTTATCGGGGCCGGAGCATTTCATCATCGACATGCACCGTGGGTGACACTGACGTCCAACCAGTGGATGGGCCAGCATTGATACTATATGTAGCTTCACCGTACATATATCCAGCATTGTGTTCTTATATGTGCTATATGTTGATCCTGAAACTCACGAGCTGGGCCTGGTTGGACACGTGCAAAAGGACGCAGCTGTGAGGTCCGTTCCTGCGCAGCCTGGTTGGCGCGTGAGGTAGCAGCATGTATTATTTGGGTCATGCTTTGCTTCTAATCCAGCTAATCAGTGGCCGAGACACAGGTACGCCGGGCATCCACCAGCATACCCTGCAAAACCGGCGGCAAGTAACTACATAAGAGTATATAAATAAACCGTAGTCATAAGAAAGATAAAAGAAAAAAAAACATGGACTAGGTTATCGCGCGACCCCAACCGCCCACGCGATTATCATCTGTGCGCCCGACATCAATGCTGGATCGGACCCCACTCCCCACCTCCCACTCTCTTTCCTTTGTTGATAGATATGGACGTCCGATAGATACATGCAAGCTGACCGAGTTAAAGAAAAGCAAAACATTTTATTTAAATGTTTTAAATTCCGTTTGTACCGGTATGTTCTACGTGACAAGACGAACAAAACTAGACCTCACTTGCTTATATTTCAAAAAATATTATTTTAGTAGCAATTTATGTATAAAAATGTGTTAGGAGATTTATGAAAAAGTTGCTACCTTATAATACTAAACTTGCTACTCTAAAAATATACTAACGTTTTTATATGGTATGCACATCGATTGTTACCATGAGAATATAATAAATTTATTATATGGTACTAACCCCTAAAGAGAATAATGGACCGGCAACCTGGAGAGGTAAGTTATTAGAACAAACATCGCATAAGCTGCCAATTAGGAGGGGCAAGTTATTATACAACAAATTATGAAAAGTCAGCAAACATGACTTGCTGCCAACTGGGGCATTTATTAAAAAAAATGAGGGTAGCGATACAAAACAAGACAAGCTGCAACCTCGGGCTAAATTATTAGAACAAGCATTGCATAAACGGCCAACTAGATGGGCAAGTTATTATAAAACCTACTATATGCACTGAGAAACATGATTAGCTGAAAAAATTGAAGGGACATTTATTAGAAAACAAAAGTAGCAACCCATAATAAAACAAGCGGCACCCCGAGAGATAAATTATTAGAAGAAGCATTGCATGTGAACATGTGGTGCCATCTTAGAGGGTAAATTATTATACAACTAATATGTAGGATTTGGGAATACATTCGAACATAAAATGGTAACTGAAAACTGAAACTAAAAACATTAAAAACACGGCTGAAAACTAAAACAAAAAAAACTAAAAAATTAACTGAAACTTGAAAATAAAAAATATTGATAAAAAAACTCATTCAACTCAAACTAAAAGACACAATGAAAAAAATGAAATAGTGAAACTGAAAAAAGTACACAATGAAAAAATGAAACTTGAAACTGAAATTGACAAACAAAAAACATAAAAAAAATGCAAAGAATACTAAAAAAAGAAAAAAAGAAAAAATAAATTGCCGCACAAACACAAAAAGGAAAAAAGTCACGGCGTGGCCAGGCCGCAGATGATCGCTCGCTCCCGTGGGCTAGGCCGCACGCGCAAGGCCAGGCCGCGTGCCCGAGGGTCGCTCGCTCGCCAGGAGCGTGACCCCGCGCGCAATAGAGTTTGCGAAAAAACATACCTGGACGCCATGTAACGCGGCCCACGCGGCAAGTGAACTCCATACGTTAGTACATGCGCTCTGGTTTCAGTTTCCATACGTTAGTACGTTAGCAAGGAACACGCCGCGTCCGGTGAGTCTGTGCCGCCCTGCCCGCCCTCCGCCCTGCTTTGAGCAGGAGGATCGTCGTCTATTTCGCATGTCTCCTTCTGTAGTATATATGGTCACGCCTGTTGGGGCTTATCGTCCTTCGCAACTATGTTGCTTAGGTAAAATTTAATCTTTGCTCTTTGTCTTTTAAAAAAAATTATTGTCTATTTTCATAGTTATTTGTGAACATCACAAATAATGAACTGTTTAATTATTTGGTAATATGTTTTTTAATATTTGTGTAATTATGAAGAGAAACTTAGATATTACATCTCTATTTTAGAAACTTGCAGCAAAGAAGGCGGCGGTGGCTGCCGATACATCTAGTCACTTTTATTGAGGAGGATATTTCTTGGAAGTAGATGAAGATGATATATTCAAGACATTCAGGTCCCTTCGAAAGCGTCGAATAAAACAGTCACATTATAAGTCTCTAGTACTCTTCTATGCCTATATTTGAATTATCGGTATGGCTTTTGAACTATTTATATTGTATATTAGTGTATGGTTTCAATTTAATCCTTGAATTTCAGGCTTATCAAGTTACTTAGTGCAAGTATACCGAATTACGTTACATAATTTACAATTATTACCGAATTGGATAAATGGATCTTACTATTACTAATTAGAGGCCCCAACGGGGCCTCCACATTAATCCTCACCAGAAGTGCTCGAAAAAAGATAAATGCTAGAAATTCTCACGTTAATCAGAAACATCTGGTCGTTAATCAAAAGACTTCAACTATCCTTAATGATTAGATCTATTTTGTTTTTTTAATATCCAGCTCCACAATTAAATATAGACAAAAAACAGCCCAAAATTTCCTTGATAAAACAAACTTTGACGTACGGGGAAAAATTCTTCAAGAAAAAAAAACGTAACAGAAAAAGTCCCAAAAGTGACGTTCACACAGCTTGGAGCGTACGTGTGAGAATTCATTTTTTTCAAAAAATTATCCACCTCCGCAATTAAATAAGGAAAAAATAACCCAAAATCTCCTTGATGTAAAACAAACTTTGATGTATGGGAAGAAAATTCTTCAAGAAAAAAATGTAACAGAAAAAATCCCTTAGTAATGTTCACACAACTTGGACGTACGGAAGAGAATTTCTTTTTTTTTAAAAAAAATTATCCACCTCTGCAATGAAATATAGACAAAAAACAGCCCAAAATCTCCTTGATGTAAAACAAACTTTGACCTATGGGAAAAATCTTCAAGAAAAAAAACGTAACAGAAAAAAAGCCCTTAATGACGTTCACACACAACTTGGACGTACGGAGAGAATTTCTTTTTTTTTTTAAATTATCCACCTCTGCAATTAAATATAGACAAAAAACTGCCCAAAATCTCCTTGATGTAAAACAAACTTTGACGTACGGAAAAAAAATTCATGAATAAAACGTAATATAAAAATCTCTTAGTGACGTTCACACAACTTGGACGTACGGGAGATAATTTCTTCATCAAGAAAAAAACGTACCGGAAAAAAATCTCATGAACTGACGTTCACACAACTTCGACTTACGGTAACAATTTTCTTTTAGAAAAAAAACTGTACTAAAGTTCATAGTTGATTAATAAAATAATATATGTTCAGTATATCGATGACATTTATAGTTAGATAATCTTCGGTTAGATATTATTAATAGAATATCAGGTAAGCAGTGCCCGTCGTATTCAGGGTTTTATAGTCCATTAATAAAAAATAAAAAATCAAATAGAAGATTAATCTATTAATTCATAAAACATAAGATAGAATCTTTCAACCTCAACAAATTAGATACGCACGTGTGCCACAATGTCAGTATATAAATAATAGCAAATAAATTGCTATAGCCTTATCATCACTATGTAATATTTTTTATGATGTAGAGGAAAAAGTTGGAGGTGAGATACATGTTGTGCCACAACCGTTTTATATAAGGCTAAAATTGAGGACTATGGGACCACCGTTGCATTATTGCATGAGTTGTTGACATACAACCCACAATGGACCATTTGTATATGCACAAATTAAAAATTTAGTAGTTCTCCTAAGATTACTCATACTATATAAAACTGTCTATTAGACAATACTAATGTGTAACGTCCCGCCTCTCCGAGGCCGGGCCCGCTTACATCTGGCGCCTTTCAGGATATAGATCGCCCTCACGACATCAACACAGTCTTTTTTCTCACAAGACTTTGTCCTCACTCACTGCATGCATCTTTAAAGGACTTCCCGGTCGGTCACCCATCGCTTTAGGCCAAGCACGCTTAACCTCGGAGTTATTTGCAGATGGGCTTCCAGAAAAGAAGTTGCAACTTATTGGTATGAGTATCATATTAATCCTGTTAAGCCCTGGGCCGGGATGTTACATCCTCACCCCCTTAAGAGATCGACATCCTCGTCGATCAATCCAAGCCAGGAGCGTCCTCTCTTGGCCACGTCCGTGTGTCCACTGCCAGCGCATGTGCCATGCTATGTGACCACGCCGGATCCACACCAGCCATGCGCACCATGCCTACGCAACTACGACACACGCGCCCGTGAAACCGCGAGAGTCGGCTTTGATACCGATCTCAGAACGTCCCGCCTCCCGGGCCGGGCCGCTTACATCCGGCAAATTCTCTAGGATATAGACGCCCTCACAGATCAACACAGTCTTTTCTCACAAGCACTTTGTCCTCACTCGTGCGCACCCGGAAAGGACTTCCCGGTCGGTCACCCATCGCTCTAGGCCAAGCACGCTTAACCTCGGAGTTATTTGCAGATGGGCTTCCAGAAAAGAAGTTGCAACTTATTGGTATGAGTATCATATTAATCCTGTTAAGCCCTGGGCCGGGATGTTACATAATGTATTTACCTTAAAGAGGTCTGATGGTCTAAAGAACAAGACAATTCCAATGGCCATGCGAAACTGGAATCCATCTATTTATCATCAGTCCAGTTGTTTTCATCGTTCATCAAACAAAAAAAATACTTTGTCCATTCCAAACTATAAGACGCTTTGGCATTTTCAGTTACATTACTTTAGCATTTATCTAAATATAATGTATATCCAAGTGCATTGGAAAAACTATGTATACAAAAAAAGTCAAAACATTTTATAATACATTTTAATCTGTGTCAAAACTATGTATGTGGAATGGAGGGAGCAATTCAAATACCCCCTAAATTTAAAAATGAAGTACAC